TGTGATACATAGGGACACTGATGCCAGGCTGGCCTTCCAATTCTTTGGACCGACATGCCCCCTTTTTGGGCATGTTCACCCCTTTTGGCAGTTCTGGTCACGTGATTCACGCCAGTGGCCCCCCCTTTTACCCCACCCGTTGGCTTCCTGCTCCACTGGACACTGCTGGGGTCCGTGGCGGATCCGGGGGAGGCAACGTGGCAATTGTCCCCCCCGAGAAATCCGACGGTCTCCCTCTCCCCTGCCAGCACATGCAGGTGCTAGCCCTGCAATGTGCCTGTGGACCGGAGGAGAGATCACAGTTCTCCCTCCCCGGTCCACAGGCACTGTGCTGACAGCCGGCAGGGGAGGGAGAGGGAGGAATGAGGACCCGGGAGTTCTGCCTGCAGCTCCTCCGGGTCCTCCTCTAGCGAGATTTGGAGCGTTGCCGCAGTTACCACGGCAATGCTCCAAATCTCGCGAGAGTGAACTCTAGCCCTGGAGCGCGGGCTAGACTTCACTGTAACCACTGGACCACCAGGGATCAAAATATGTCCCCCCTCCTCCCTCAGTAACGGTAAGAAGGGAGGGGGGAGGGGGACATAGAATATTTATTTTAATTACATAAAAAATAAATACATATATTATTAAAAAAAGCCCCCCCTACCTTTATCACACACTCTATACACATACACCCCCATACACACACTGCGCTCCCATACACACACATTGCGCCCCCATACACACACTGCCCCCATACACACATTGCCCCCATACACACTGTCCCCCATACACACACTTTGCCCCCCATACACACATTTGCCCCATGCACACTGCCCCCCCATACACACATTGCCCCCCCATACACACATACTGCCCCCATACACACACACTGCCCCCCATACACACATACTTCCCCCATACACACATACTGCCCCCCATACACACACACTCTACACACACACATTGCCCACACTCACACATACACTGCAATACTCACACACACACATACTGTCCCACACATACACTGCATCCCTGACATACACTGCCGCCGTCGTTTAACCCAGTCATTGCTGAAGGGGCGGTGGTTACCTGCACTTTTGGGTGCTGGCTGCGTTACCATGTGCTGTCAGGGCACAGAAGGGGGCGTTTGCTGCTATGTCGAGGGTACTCTTTGCATATTGTTTAACTGCAGTTCACAAATAGATATATATACTTGGACCTATAACTGTCTCCATTTTTTTAAATGTATTTAGCCCAGACCTGGAGTATTCCCATAGGGCATTCCATAGCAAAGTTTCGGGTGATTCGCCTAGTTGGATCGATATGCCCACTTATAGGTCTCTGTGGTTTCCTAACGGGATAAGTAGTCTTCCCATAATTTTGTGGCCTCTATGGTGACCTTGTTAGGGGTCATGTGGTTGTGTGACATGGTTTAATAGTCCCAGTTTGTGATAGCCTGTACATGTAGTGTCTTTCTGTCTGGTGTCTGTGTCGCCTTCCATGTGCGTGCTATAAGGGTGTTTGTTGCAATTAGGACCTGGAATTTGAGTTTAGAGTGTACCTGGCATTCTTGTTCTAAGCTAATGAAAAATAGGCATTGTTCAGGTGTGAGATGTTGTGGGGTTTGTAGAAGATCCAATAGGTCCCTCTCAACCCCCCTCCAAAATGTTTTTATGGCCGGACATGTCCACCAGATATGTAGCATTGTTCCTACCCCTGTCTGAAATCTCCAACACGTGTTGGGGGGGTTAGGATACATGCAAGACAGTCTATCTGGCACATAGTACCATCGATAGTGCAATTTCCGCACCACTTCCAGGTGTGCCGCGCAGGTGGTGTTGTGCCTATGTGCGACCCCCACCTTCCCCACTGTTCATTCGTGAGTGTATATCCCAACTCTTTGTGCCATGCCTCTCTCTATCCCTATGTTATTTTTAATCTTTTGTAAAGTAAATACTTTTTAAGTCCAAACGAAACACTTTCACCTCGATAACCTACAGCTAATTTAAGTTATTGTGAGAGTTCTGGGGTTATATTTCTCTTAATGGGAGATCAGTAATAAGCTCAGCCTATTGTCATTAGCACTATGTTGTGCGTGGGAAGGCTCTGTGTGTGTGTATTGTGTGTGTCTGAATAATGTATGCCTTTCAAGTATTTGTGGGGTGACTGTAAGTATTGCAGCTATTGTGGCTGTATGTGACTGACTGTGTCACATAATATCTGTCTGTGTGATGTGTGGGACAGGCTGTGTGTGATGTGTGTGTTTTAGGATGTGCCTGGGCACCTTATGCCCATGCCTAATAGTTCCATGCAATATTGCCAGTCACATAATCACCTTCTGAGACAAATGTTTATGTGGTTGGTGAGGTAGCTCAGTTGCTAAAGTCCCTGACTACAAAGTTGGTTCAGATCCCAGCAGGGTCCACTCAGCTCTTCATCCTTGATAAAAAGAGTACCATCAATTGGTAATTCTGAGATTGTGCGCTGAAAAGCACTTTGAGTCCCACTGGAAGAAAGGCGCTATATAAATACTAGTTACTATTATTATGGTCTAACTCTAGAGATGCTTTTTACATGCAGTATATTGGGCTAACCTACAGACAGCTTGAGGATAGATTCAAGGAATGCAGGCATTTAGTAATGTTCAAATAAACTATCCATTATATTTGAAGACAAGTTAAAGAATATCCAGAAGGGACACTTGAAGGATAACAAGTCATGATTATTGACAGGTTACCCCTTGCAGACTTTTGTAGTCAAGAAGAAATATCTTGTGAGCAAAATGTTCAAATGGATCAAATATTTTTGTCTGTTGGACATATTGAGCTCCAAAGGGCATTACTAACAGCATCATAAGACACACTTGTTCTTAATAAAAAAAAAACAACAGTGTATATATATATATAATTGTTTGTAACACTCTTTTGTTTTTTTCTAATATTTTAATTAATCATTATTGTCACAGCGAGGGTGCATAATTTATTATTGCACTATGGAATATTGCTATTTAATATAACTTGTGCAGTGCATCAATAATTGGACCCCTGGCTAGGGGACAAATGGCAGAGAGAAATTGCTCTTTTGATCAAGTGTGAAAGGGATTGCCCTTTTTGATCTATCAAAGGTCCTGCAAGGTGAGACATTTTACACTGTATGACTAGTTTCAATGTAAACTAACTGACTTTGACCATCTGGCCAGAAACTCTCAATTGATAGTTCAATCCTTTGATATGGTAATGGTATTAGTTTCATGAAGACCCTTCCTTGTGTTCCAGTATCATATCCAAGAAATACATTAATACTGACCCACGGCTTTATAACTAAGCCTCATTTTTTAATTTATATGGAATGGGAGAAGCCCAATCTCTTAAATAAGTCTAAACATATGTTGCACAACTTAAACTGTGTGGCAGGAATTGTGATGTCCGTCCTATTGGACCGTGGGTGGGGCGTGCGACATGTCTATGGAATGGGAAAATAATAACAAATTTGTAGATACAATTATTATTTTTGTGGCAGGTACATAAAAGAAGATAGAGCCAAATGTTTTCATTTGGATTGAATGTGGTCCGGAACAAGAGGTGGTCACTTATTATTTCTGCACCCCCTGTGCAGAAGTTGTACTTTGAAAACCTAAGTGAGTAATTCTTTTTGTTTTTATCTGTTGTTGGTGTAAATAATTTGTTTATCATATAGTTTTTATATGCACTGTGACTATTTTTTGCTCATGATAAACATTCATTTATTAAGTTCTGCGTTTATCTGGTTAAGAATCACGTTATCTGAAGAGACTAATTAGTATTTTGCAATTACATAGATATTGTGCTAAGTAATATTTGGTGGGTTTTTATTATTGATTTACCTGGGGGACCAAGGCACCCCATTTATAAATTGTCTTGGTGGTGGCAGCGTTTAAATAGTAATAGTTATATTATTATGTTTAAGTGTGGGTGGTGTTAAAAGGGGGATTAATTGTCATTATTTCCGGTCTAGACAATAGTGAACCCTTTCACCACCACAACTACGTCACGCACACTCTTGGAGTAGGGAGCGTTCATGACAATTATTATTTAGAATTTATTTTTACATTTCTCCCTCCATTAAATTTTTTATGGTCTTGTTAAACAATTTTATTTTTAAAAAACATTTACCTGAATCTATTTATTGACAACAACACATAAATGTACAGTTGCCAATAGAACAGGCAATCAATTAAGCAATTTTACAGGTGATTTCTGTTGAATCTGAATTGTAATGTAACAGACTAGAATGTGCTTCTACTCATATTTTTTTAAAATCTAATAATCAACTAGAAAATGTATGCACTGATGAGCTACAATTTTTCAATATATAATAATAATATGCACACAATTATCTGAAAATTCAGAAATTAGAAAGTAGTGCACAATGAACAATTATGGCATGCAATATTTTGGCGTTAATGCCACCACTTTTCTTTTGTCATCAGCTTTCTTTATGTGGCATCTCTCCTGGTTTGTAGTGCTGTTCACTCCCTGTTCGGATTAGGCCCAAACATGGAAATAGCATCACTTTCTAAGGAAAGGCTTTTCTGTTGGAACTTGCCTCCTGTTCAGAAGACTTCAACCTACTTTGTGGTCTGCTAACCTTTTTTGCATTGACCCTTTCCCTACTGAGTTATAGGATAAGATCTGAAATACTCCCAGGTGTCACAAGCACTATGAAGATCTACAATATATTATGCTGTGAATCATACCCACCGACCTTCTATAAAATTCAGGATTATTCTAACCTTAGTGACCGAATAATCTAAATTTTATTAAAGACAGGAGGCTTCATATTTGCTTTACTTTCTTTACTGTAACTCCCAGCAGTAAAGAAACAGTTAACAGTAAGTAAAAAATTTAACCAATCAGAGTGTACAATAGAGTATGTCCAGTCATCAGGCTCCTCGAAATTCCTCTTTCTTGATGCAGCCGACAGCCGCAGAGTCAACCATGTAAACGTAAACGGTGGAACAATAAGGGCTCAAAATGTAGTCAACCATGTAAACGATGTAGGAACGTAGGTAATTCCTCGAGATGTAGTGAAGGGTTTTCACACTAGGAAAAAAGGAGAGAGAGAGAGGTCGTGAAAATATGGTTTCTTGGGTAAGAGAAAAACAATACTTAATTACTTTATCTGATATGCTTCCAACCAAGGTGTACAGCCCTATTCTGACAAATCTTAAGTTATGAGTTAATGAGTGTAGTATCCGTAAAGGTAGTTGCAAGGAGAGGCCTGAAACGTAGATTATAAAACATTGGTTTAGTCAATAGAGGTGTTGTGGAATACCTACCTAGTTGGGTTGGGTGCGTGTATTAGCGGGCGGGAAAATATTCGCCTCCTGTCTTTAATAAAATTTAGATTATTCGGTCACTAAGGTTAGAATAATCCCGAATTTTATGGCAAGACAGGAAGCTTCATATTTGCTGTTTTAAAGCGATGATATGATGGAATTAAATACATGAGGGGATTGTCTAAAATAGAAGGTTCTGAAGGTGGATTCTCTGGACCAATCTGTGGAGGTGAGGATCTCCATTAGGGAGCCCCCAGATGTAAATGCAGACGAGGCGGCCACGCCTCTTACTGAGTGAGCACCAAAACATGGGTTGATGCCAGCTATGGCTAGAGGCCATTTGATCCAACGAGCAATTGTGGGACATGACACTGGCTTGTGAGGTCGAACGTAGGACAACAGTAGGGGGCCCATTTGTGGTCTAAGATCCTTGGTGCGGAGGATGTAGTTTCTGACGCAATTAGCTACGCAGAGCATGGGTTTGTCGTGAAAGTAAGGGTAGCTTACTGTAGATGAATTGGTTTTGATGCGTCGGGTAATGGAGAAGTGTACTCCCTCAGGGGTAAAGTCCACCGCATGGACGTCAAATGCTCTGATGTCCGAGACTCTTCTAAATGATAAGAAAACAGAGCAGTAGTGCCAGTTTCGCCGACAGTTGTCGAAGAGAAAGTTCTCCATTAGGGGGCCACGTCTCCAAAAAGGATAATACCATAGTAACATCCCAAAATAGATTATATTTGGGAGCCGGGGGTCTTGCGAGGCGCATGCCTCGCAGAAGTCTACATATGGAGGGGTGCTTACCACCTGCAGAGTTGTCAACGAGGCTATGGGCTGCCGAAATGGCTGAACAGAAAACGTTAATTAACCGATAGGACTTACCCTGTTCAAAGAGTGATGCCAGGAAGTTCATAATGTTAATCAGAGAGGTTGAAAATGGATCAACGTCCCTCTCCAAGCACCAGCTATTCCAACGTTGCCATGCTGAGAGATAAGAACGTCTTGTTCCTGGGGCCCAAGAGTCCCATAGTTGTCCTCGAGCAGCAGTCGAAAGGCCTGAGACGTTCCAGGATCCCCTGAAATGGTCCAAGCCACTAACTGAAGGGGTGTTTGATATACCTAGGGTTGAACAGGGGGGTGGCCAGAGGTATCTAGTAAAATATCCTCAGATATGTTTTGGTTAGGATCAGAGGTTTGGAGCTCATTTTGGTGGGGTTCATGGGAGGGAAGGTCCTTGTCCGAATACCCTGCAGAGAAAGTTGCCTGAAGGGTCCCTGAGGAGGTTGTATGAGGTGGGTAGGAGTAGGGGGTAGTCCACTGACATCTCCAGGAGATAAGGGAACCATGGTTGGGTTCGCCACAGTGGGGTTACCAGAGTTATGGTGACGCCCTGTGTTCTGAGGTATTGTATCGTACGTGGAATCATGGAGAATGGGGGAAAGGCATACGCTCCGGATGTTGGCCACGGTTGAAGAAAGGCATCCACTGCCAGGCACGCTGGGTCTGGGAGCCAGCTGAAGAATGTGTCCGTCTGATGGTTCAGGCGAGATGCAAACAGGTCCAGGTTGAATGGCTCTCTCAGGGCCTGTATATGGTGAAAAATTTGTGGGTCCAGTTGCCAGTCACTGGAATCCCTCCCGTGGCGTGAGAACCAATCTTTAATGAGATTATCGGAGCCCGGGAGATATTCCGCATGAAGGGAGATATTCCTGTACAGGCAGAATTGGTACAATTCCTTCGTCAGATCTAATAGCATCTTTGATCGTGAACCACCTAGGCGGTTCACATATTGTACTGCTGAGACATTGTCCATCCTCAGGATGAGGCTACAGTTGTAGGCTTTTTTGGCAAAACTGCAGATCGTGAAATAACCAGCAATCAGTTCGAGGCAATTGATATGCAGTGCCTGTTCTGATGGGGACCAGAGGCCTCCAGTAGAACGTTACGAGCAGGTGGCACCCCATCCGAGGAGACTGGCATTCGATTCCAGAATGAAGTCGGGTTGCCGGCCGAAGATAGCCCTTCAGTTCCAGGCTTCCATATGTTGAAGCCACCAGTGGGGTTCTAATTGGACTTCGTCTGTGAGAAAGATCTGTTGGTCATAAGATGGTGAGTGATGTAGTGTGTAGTGTGTTTTCAAATGTTGCATCGCCCGATAGTGTAGCGGGGCTGGGAATATTGCCTGGATTAAGGCGGAGAGTAATCTGATTGTGCGGGCTAAATTCCTGAGTCGGAGGTATGGCGAGGTCAGCAATCTCCGGATGTCCTTTTTTATGGTTTTGATTTTCGTAGCAGGACGTTGCAGGACTGCCTGAATCGAATCTATCTGAAATATCAGAAACTGTATGAGATGGAGTTAGAGATGATTTTTGGAGGTTGATGATGAAACCCAAATTCTGGAGGAGGGCAGAAGTCATATCCATATGGAGACGTAGAGTCTCTTTGTCTTGCGCCATAAGGAGGATATCGTCCAAGTATATGATGGACCGAATTCCTTGTGAACGGAGGAGCGTCATCACCGGTTTCATTCGTTTGGTGAAACACCAAGGTGCGGAGCACAGTCCGAAGGGGAGACAGGTGAACTGCCATAGTGTCTTGCCCCAATTGAATTGGAGGAAAGTGCGATGTTCTGGCGTGATTGGTATCGTGAGGTATGCATCTTTGAGGTCGAAGCGGGAAAACCAATCTCCCTCGCAGGAGGTCTCGTAATAGGTGGATGCCTTCCATCTTGAAGTGTCTGTATCTGATGAATTTGTTCAGTTCTCTCAGATTGATGACTGGTCGGAATTTTTCTTGACTAAAAACATATTGCTCACGAAACCTCGTTGGGTGAGGGCCCGTTCGATGGCACCCTTGTTGACTAGGTCGTCGAGTTCGGCTTGAAGGGCCATGTCGTCTATTTGAGACATCTTGAGAAGGGTAGGCAAGGACACCTGAATTGGATCCTCTGTAAAGTCTAGGTGGAAGCCGGATGCGGTCTGAAGGATCCACGAATCCTGCGTGAGTTGGTACCACTGTTGGGAAAAATTTATTAATCGGCCTGCTATAGGTACATGAGAAAAATGAGAGTCCCTTACCTGTAGGAGTGCCACTGCGGAGGGAAGAAGTGCTTGTGGTGGAAACGGGTATTGCCCAAGTTCCAATGTTCGGAAGGTCGAGGCCTATAGCCTGTAGAGGCAGCTCTGCCAGCCGTCTGGCCTCTGTAATGGCTGGCTCTCCCAGAAAAACGTTGGGACCTAAATACCTTGCGTAAGGAAGATTGCGCTTTTGTAAGTGTAGTAAACACAGCCACGTGTTTACTTAATTCTTTAATAAATTTGTCTCCAAAAAGCATACCTTGTGCCTCAGGGCCAAGCTCTTTAGTGCCTAATTCGGCAAGCTTTGAATTGATCTTATATAAGGCGGCTTTCCGTCTTTCAGTTGACATGGCAACATTTGCGTTGCCTAGTAGGCATAATGCCCTCTGTGCCCATTCTCGCCCCATATGTGCGTCCAAAGTGCCACTTGCCAAAGCCTCATCTGCGATAGTGAAAATCTGGATAAGCAGTCCCACCATATCCATCATTTTATCTTGTGCGGCCTTCAGGCCTTGTTCCAAACCCTTACGGGGGTCTTTTCCTGTCTTGTACAGGAAGGTGACGAGTAAGGGATCGAATTCTGGGGTAACCGCCACCTTGTCTGGGATAACAGGTGGTGGGCATTCTGCCCTTAATTTAACTCTCACCTCTTTTTCCAATGGTTTACGGAGCCACATCCTGCAGAACTTAGCTATGTGGTCTAGGGGGCTCCCCTCGGCAGAGCGTGGGTGTTTGATATACCTAGGGTTGAACAGGGGGTGGCCAGAGTTATCTAGTAAAATATCCTCAGATATGTTTTGGTTAGGATCAGAGGTTTGGAGCTCATTTTGGTGGGGTTCATGGGAGGGAAGGTCCTTGTCCGAATACCCTGCAGAGTATTCATCTAGTACCTGACGTTGCAGGTTGGAAGTTGAACCCTCTAATGGGTCAAAGTTATAATTGGGGGTATCATCCCGAGTACCTGAAAGGGATAATCTAGGTGCTTTTGCTGGTGCCTAGCACTATTGCCTTCCAAGGGCGTTTGCGGGGGCATTCGTCATGGTATGAGCCTTTTGACTCTTCAGAGTCTGAGAGGTGAACAACAGGAGCCCTAGGGGCAGACTTTGAGTGTTCATTAAAAGTTGCCAAAGCTTTTGGAATGGAGTCTGCAATGGCGTTATACAGCCAAGCTTTGGGCTCCGCAGAGACTGGTGGTTCAGGCAAATCAGAAATATTGAGAGAAGTGGAGTCACCACAAGTATAAATATATATGTATAATTGTTTTTTTTTTTTTTTTATAATATAAAACTCAAAAGGCAGTGGACTTGATCAAAACGCAAAGCGTGTATATAAAATCTTTGAATTGCTAATTAAGCGTGGGGGTCACCCATAGTTATCGCAGCAGAAACGGTATAACCGAATTAATACTATGTAATGAGGGGGTCACCCTCAAGAGACAGTAAAAAGGGGTCACCCTTTATATGAGGCAGAACTGTATAATATAGAGGGGGTCACCCTCTTCAGTGAGGCAACTATTAAATTAATATAGAGGAGGTCACCCTCAGTAATGAGGCAAACAGCTTTCTTGAGGTATAGAGGGGGTCACCCTCTTATGCAAGGGTTTAGTGTAATCTGTAATAAAACAGAGTAGATACACTTTAATAATACTGATTAAAAGTTCAGTGTTAAATTGCTGTCAGAAAAAAAATGTTGAATGCACTTACCTGAAACTACCAATAGAGGCGCTGGAGAGCCGTTGTGATCACTAGCCGTCCAGACATTCCGGTCTAATGTAGGAGGAAAAGAGCGCGAAAAAAGCCCGCAGAGAAATGGCCGTGGGAGGAAGGAGTCGTCGCTATGGTGACAGGTAAGGGGCCGGGATTGCTCTCACAGATGGAGGCGGCGATATCACCGAGGTTGGCAACCGGCCAGAAGCCGATCAGATCTCGGCTTCTGGTCGCATGAAAGGGGCTTGTGCAAGGTGCCTCTGAGTCGGAGGCAGAAGGCAGCACACACATAGACCGTGGGGACTAAATGCTACCCACAGAGGGCATAGAAAGAAATCTACCAAAAATCCCTCTAAAGACACAGTCCATTTAAAGGGGAAAGGTCTAAAGTAAAAATACTGTTAAAATATCACTAAGTTTATACATTAGGTCAAAACAATAAGATATATTAAATCAATATAGATCTATCAATACTAGACTGTAATTGGAATAGACTCACCTGGGAGGCTAAGCAGCAAAGAAAGAGGAATTGGGAGGAGCCTGATGACTGGACATACTCTATTGTACACTCTGGTTAAATTTTTTACTTACTGTTAACTGTTTCTTTGCTGCTGGGAGTTACAGTAAAGAAAGTAAAGCAAATATGAAGCCTCCTGTCTATAAAATTAATCTGTATCATCACCATAGACAGGCACATAGACTTCTGGTGGAATAGGAGACAGTAAAGAGGAAAAAAGAGATGAGCTTGTCAATGAAATGCCTGCTCTGTTCATGAGAAATGTGATGCACTTGACATTTTACTTAATTATTTTACTTGAATTATTCAAACCACATTCTTAAACAGTAAATAAGCAATGTTCTGAAGAACTGGAGTTCTGCACCCCTAAAGTTAGTTCTGAATTAATATTCTTATGGCATAAGAAATGTTTGGAATGGAGAATGGTATGTAGTAACTATACCTAATAGACAATTCCCAGTCCTCTATATCCTGATTCGATTTCAAAACATTCAAACACTTTTGCAGTGAGAATAGTCCCTCATTTTTGGAGCTCAAAACATAAACTAGTATCCAATATAAAAGCACATGAAGTGGAGTGGAGAATTCCAGTAACTAAGTAAGAAAATTCAATCTTCTCAACTCTATGAGCATCTAGTGAATAAATCCAGTCTGACATTGCATTAATCCAATAGGGTGACCCACAGCAGAGTCTGTGTTTGCATTAATTGTTGATCGCAATAGAATAACAGCCTTCTGGTTTATCGTATGATGTGTTTTTAAAATAGTGAACCCCATATCTGCAGATATATTCATGACTGCTAACTGTCCTTCGCCATCAACCAAATTCAGGCTGCGACTCCCCAAGCCCGTCCAGGCATTATTCATTTACCAAACTTGCTGGCGCAGGAAACCCACAGCTGTGACAATTTAAAAACAAAAAAACAAACTAAGAAAACACAGCACAAAACAACAATTCCAGAACAGAAGAATTGGGGTGGGTGTATGGGGAAAGACACTGCCAGGCTCCCTATGTATTGTTTACCAGTAGTCTGGTACTTTTCCCAGAATTCCCTGCTTCCAATTGTAAAATCAAATGTATCCATTTGGTTGCTATGCCAACCCCTCAGAGCAGCAGTCATGCTCCTTCTCCCTATTCACTAAGTGGTTGACCTTGACCGTTGACTCCTTCGATCACCAAATCCCATTACCCTTTTATTCCTGATAAGTAACACAACACCGTGTTAAGTGGGTAAGGGCAAAGGACACAGCTTTATTTAAATCAGCACAAACAAATATTGGTCTTACCCAGCTGACAGGTACACTTTAAACTTCTTCCAGAGCCTCTTCAGCCTGTCCTTTGTCATCAACCAAATTCAGGCAGTGACATTCCAAGCCCTTCTGGTCATTATTCATTTACCAAACTTGCTGGTGCAGGAATCCTGCCACCGCAGACCCACACCCCTACTACTAATAGCAGGCAGGATCCCACTATCAGCAAGTGCACAAATACAATGTAGCGGTACTTACCCTCTCCAGGGGCCGGGCGAGGCTCGTCCAACGGGGAGATCTGGAAGACGGGCACTGACTGCGAGACGCGGCCCCGTGACACGCCTGACACTGGGAGCGCGCCGCACGTATTGGGAGCGCGCCTCATTCCATTGGCCCATTTCATTCCACATTCCCAATACACTCAAGTTTTGGGGGTGTGGATATGACAGGGGCCAATCAAATTAATCTATAAGGTATTTATACTTACCCTTCCCTTAGCTCCCTGCCCTATTGTGGTTTCTGTTTTTCTCAAGATGCAGGGAAACAGGGAGAAGCAATCTATTAAGAGGCAAATGTGGGGACTCTGATGTCACACCTGTAACGGACCGTTTTGCCCACAAGAGGTTAAAAAACGTTTAGGCGATATTCCCCTTTTTCAACTGCACAGACAGCTACTGCAAGCACCAATCTCCCGAACTGCAAACCCACGAATTCACCAACTCCCGAACTGCAACCAAGGGAATACTCGAAACTCCTGAACTGCATACCAAGTAGCACTCCAAACTCCCGAACTGGAGACACACGAATAGCTGCGAGCAGATGAACAGGAAAAGCCCCCAAGCGGCTTACACTCCTGGCAATCAGTCTCTAACAGCATACAGTAAATCCTCCCCCAATAATGAGACGACACTTCACTCAAACATATAGATATAATAACTAGAATAACTAGAAGTAAGGAAATAAACCGAACATTAACCATACTGAGGCACCCTAAAAGGTGTGACATCAGAGTCCCCACATTTGCCTCTTAATAGATTGCTTCTCCCTGTTTCCCTGCATCTTGAGAAAAACAGAAACCACAATAGGGCAGGGAGCTAAGGGAACTCATTTACTGGGACTAACTGCCCGGCTTTTATGCAGGTCTCCCACCTGGTGGACACTCCCCTAGGGGACCAAATGGGAGACTGTGACAAAAGTCAGACAAGTTGACAAATAGGACACACAGTCACATTATATTCCCACAATGCATCCTGGCTTCCTCCCCTCTGCCCTGGAGATAATTGAGAAGTAATTCAATTATCTCCCAAGACAAAGGCAAATCGCCATTATACATGTGGGGATACTAATACACGAATTACTATTAAAATACACTGTGTGAGACACATAACATTAAAAGCATACATTTAACATATCCCCAGATAGCTCAGGTCTGAGCGCACATTATTAAGCGAATGGCGCTCAGCCCACACGAATACAGTTTAATTGCCATGGAGCCAAAGTCTTTACACAGTCAGTTTCATGCGAATGGGCTCCATGGGATTCCTATCTGGGGCACAACACACTCAAACAAAACTACCGAACACCGGGCCGTTCGTGCACTTTCACCTAACAAGAAGGGAGGTCGGCGGCTTCAGCGGTGTTCGCGCAAAACTGTGTCCGATTTTGGTTCCATGAATTAAGCGTCGAACACCGCTGTGCATTTGCATGTTTAAAATGGCCGCGACCTCGTGTTCATGATACGAATGGCGGCCACGCAACATTCGTCAATTAAGCTGCGGTTAACCGCAGCTTCAGGGAGGTTAATTGCCGGCACACTCCAGCTCCCAGGTGGTCTATTCATTCATGCGGTTGTTCGGTAGATTGAATCTACCGAACACCCGGCAGAAAAGCACGAATAAGTCTTTTCTGCAGGGAAAAAATATGTCTTTTAACATGGGGCCATAGTCCAAAGCTAGCAGGCGAGCAACCAGGCTTCTCCAGTATACAGTGGCGAGGTTGGTTTCGCCACAACACCCAAGGCCTGTCCCCTATATGTTCTTAGGTGCGATATTTTTCAGGACGCACAGGACATTCTTGTCGCATATGGCCCTTCCTATCACAATAAAGGCAAAGTCCTTCCTTTCTCCTATACAGTTTCTCAGCATCAGTGAGTTTTGCAATCCCTAACTGCATAGGTTCCTCCTCTGATCCTTTGGAACCCTCAGGACTTTCAACTCTAGGTGTATTAAAAAAGCGTCTATTCCTAGTCTTGGTATATAGTCTGTCACAATTCCTATTATCTATATCGATGAGATAGTCGATAAGGTCTTCTAAGGGTACAGGAAGATCCCTAGCCGCTACCTCATGCAATATAGTTTCAGATAGACCTTCCATGAACGCAGTAGTTAGCCCATTGTTGGTCCAATCTACCTGAATAGCATAATCAGTGACGGACTTAGATCCTTGCTTAATTCTCATTAACGCCCTGGCGGCATTCTTTGACCTTTTAGTTGTGTCAAAGGTTCTACGAAAAGCCGTAAGGAAGCTATTGAAATCATGAACCATAGGTCCATTAGCCTCCCAAATATGATTTGCCCACTCAGGTGCTTTATCTGTAAGTTGGTGCATAAGGAAACCCACCTTAGATCTATCAGTGGGAAATGGCTCATTTTGTCTCAAATTGCCCTCATCCAAGGAACTTGCCTCTATCTTTACCAGGGAGGTGTTTAGGTTACACGGTATACCAGAGTCTATAGTGTCCGATAGGGGTAGCCAGTTTATTACTAGGTTCTGGAAAGCCTTTTGTTCAGAGAT